AAAATTGAACAAACATAGAGAAAGCTTTTATACTATACAATATTTGCAATTTTCAGGTGTTATTTATTAAATTTGCGCTTTCAGTATAAAACTCGAATATTGTTTTTCTTTTGTATCACATAAAACTACTTGTACTGATTTATAAACGCAAACTAACCCACGACTCCTAGTCGTTTAGATAGACGATGCATTTTATTAACAATCAATTTACAAGATGATGGTATCGTGCCTGTTACCATGGTTACGATATTTTTCATATAGAAATAATAGTCACGGTAACATCGGTACTTTCTATAGAGGCTTTGAAGTAGATTTTAGTAAGGGTAGGTACTTATTACATTTACTATGTACCTAGATATAAACGTTTTAGTCGCAATTATAAGATGATTATAGCAATGCCTACGACCTTCAGATGCAGGTAGATATTGCGTTAACATATTAAGTTAACAATGAATTGTGCGATCTATTACAATGGATGAGATTTTATTTTTGTGTGAATTTAGTAAGGGAATGCGATGCGATAAGGAGCGCTCTTTTGCAATTTGCATGGGTTGCCTTTTAAAACCAATATCCCCAAATATTTCTCATGGCACACCTTTAAATTCAACTTCATATACAAAAGTACACAGAAAGTTATTACTTAGAAAAGGTATCGTTACCTAATGATCTTAAATGATTGTGTGTTTGTGTTTTAAATTTAATCTTCCGTTTTCCAAAAGGAGGAATAGATTTAAAAGAAGAGAGGTTTAATTTTTCATATCATGAAGTCGAATAGTTCACAGATTCATTGCTATTGTATTATTTTTTAATCAACATCACAAATCACAATAGCAAAAAAAACGCCAAATTCAGCACAAAAAGAAGCATATCAGAATGGCGCCAAACCGCATTCAGCATTAACGCGCATGCGCTAAAGTGGGCAGAGACAACTTTAATTATTAAGGAAACCTACTTGGTGATAATAGCTGCTGTAACGAGATTGTAATAAATTTTTACGATATGGTGATGATGACAATAAGAGTAATTTAAATACGTTTAACTGTATCGCCAACATATACGAGTAATTGCAGATTCAAGGGCATCATGCAAAAATGGAACGAATTTAACACAAATCACAAATATTTACTACCATTTTAATTAAGCGTGTGTTATTATAACTAGCCAAATATTATCAAAAAATAAAAAGGGTGCGTGTACTTATGTACGCGCGTAGAAGGTTATACTTCTTTGGCATTATTAAAAATAGTTTTTGATTGCATGCAAATAATTAATTACAATTAAATAATCAAAGACTGGAAAAGGAGTCATTAAAGTCAATAAAGTTCAGTTTACATTTGAAAAATTAATTAAATAAATATTTATTATTATTCTCTTACATTAAACAAATAAAACACTATTTATCTTTAAAACATTTTTATTTCATTATACTATTTATTTTTAAGTGACTCTAATGTCTTCATCAGAATTTCGGTTTGTAATTTTAAATTAATCATTACTTGGTTGTGCATCTACGAGGCTTCTCCAAAACTACTTGCTTTCTGCAACAAATAAGAGAATATTAATTTAAGCTCTGTCCATGCAAAACTTAAAATTTTTTATAATTCATATTATAAATTTTTTTAACACATTTATATTAATATAATTATATAAATGTGTTAATAATATAATTTGTAGCACATGCTACAGACCTGGATAGCAACTTTCTTTTATTCTATTTAAAGATAGAGATAATTTAAATATAATACCGGTGTCTTCCTTGTAGGTTTCTTTGGAGTTGTTTGGGGATTCTTGTTGTTCAGTTCGACATGATTTTCTTTAACCTTTCTTTAATCCTACAAAATAATGAAATTGTTAAGTTATGTTGTCACTGTTGTACACACCTTTGTTTGGCTTTTTTAGTATTCAAGTTATGTCAAAACTGATTTATTACCTTGTCATTGTTGGCTTTATTTGCTTTTGGGATATCAATTGTTTCCAAAATGATTTTATTTGTAATAACCTGAAATATATAAATAACATCTATTAATTTAAGTATCATGGTGAGTGGTTCGCACTCAGGTATTAAGGTGTATTATACCCACTGTCCATTATAAGTGGGAATGGGCTCACTTCTGGCAGGACAGAGTTTCAGTACTACAAGTGCAACATGGATGTTTTGAGGTATTACAATATCTCTAACTACCCTGTAGGGGAATAAAGTAATGTTGTAAGCATATGCCTATGCTTGAAAGGTTGAACCTTGAACATCACCATACATCATATTTATAATTAACATTCCTACCTCGACACCATCACAATCAAATTCATTGAAATCTACTTCAAACCATTGTGTCTCGAGAAGGTGATGGTGGCTTTGTTCCACCTCCAGTTTTTGATGTTTCACGGTGATAAGATGACAACTCTTTTTTTGTATTCAATTTAGTGCACTTCCACTGATTCATCAATTGTTTTTTGTCTCTTGTCCTTATATTTGCTAGATTAAATCTGATGTTTTGATTAAATAATGTGGTCATTTTTTTGAGATGCAGGTACTTATTAAAATGTTTACTTCTCTGTTATATCGCTCCAAGCCTTCATTTTCTCCTTATTAGTATTCGGGCTTAAGTCTTTGTTCTCAATTATTGATATATAGGGTCGTAGAATATTTCTAAAAAGTTGCTGTAACAAACGCAATAAACAAAAGCAATGAATAATGGTTCATGTTTCAGTTTTAATCAACAATAATACTCGATAATACATACGGATAGTTAACCTCAATTGTATTGAAGCACTCAGGAAGGTTAGCACAGTTTTTTCACAAATATTTTATATTATTTCACAAATATTTTGTATAATGAAAATAACTAGGTATATAATTATTAATTTTAAACAATAATTAAAACTCCTATATTTGTTTAAAAGGTAAATGTCATTGTCAGATGTCAATTGTCATGGTCATTCAAAATTCTTGTTGAAGGCTGCTAAGCTAGAATATGCGTGAAGTTAGCTTCACGCATATTCTATTTCTTTTACTTGTAGTTTGTCTTATTCCCATCTCGCTCGCGCACGCTATATCACACTGCCAATTTTGTGTCATAGGTGCGCGCCAATCGCAAAATTTCACTCTCATCAATTTTTCATAACGCGCCTAAAGAAGTACAACTTCAAAAATAAAAATAATTATAATAATAAATAAAAAACACGTAAGTTATCATTTTTAGATTGGAGATTTATTTTAAATACTAATTATAAATTATAATGGAGTATATTATAATATTTATCTATACTAATTTTACCTACAAAGAGAACGGGTTTGTATTTTTACACGTATCTAACGAATAAACTCAAAAACTACAGACCAAAAAAGATTTCACAATTTGACTAATTCCTAAGTCACATATTCCAAAATAATGACAGACAAATGTTTAGCTAGAACAGGCCGCTAGTACATCAATGTGTTCTATAGGTGCAGAAAATCGGGACACAAATCTACTACTTGTGAGGAAGCACCACATTGTGTTATATGTGTGAGCGAGAACATATAAACGGATCACAGTTGGGTGTAACAAATTGCAACCCTTATGTAAATAAACAACTGTAAGACGGCAACAATTTAGTAGGAGGGTTGCTGTAGCGGTCACAGACAGTCACGGGGTCTCTTAGTAGAGTGGGAGGGGTAGTGGGTCTGTGGGTTTCCCTCAATTTATATTCTAACATTCGTAGGTGTAGATTGCCTAATTCTATGAGGAACAAATAAAGCTTTTTATGTGTGTCAGTTGCGTGTTGTTGTTTTAACCAATTACCAAATATAAATAAATAACAATGGAGTGTGAAATTTCTCACAACGATGATGAGAAGTATCAAGATTGCAAACATTGTAACGTTTTTAATAATTGATGGCATATTTTATACCACTAGCTTCTGGACACAGATTTGTGTACTCACAAAATTGTTAAGAAAAATAGCTTTGTCTATGCCAATAAGTTCATATTGAAATGTTCTTTCAAATCGGCTAAAGGGCTTGAATCCAGGTCATGTACATACATTTAAAAAAGAGTGTTCTATTATAAAATGTTTGGTTTTGTAATAACATAAGTTTGAATAGTTTGGATGTGAAAGCATAACAAACGCTTTGCTTTTAATCTTAATGAATTATGAATTAACTAATTAGATACAATAGATAATCCAATTAAAAAACGCTGAGAAGTTTATTAGAAATCTAAATCATCACAGTTTATTAATTTTAGTATCGTATTTGTTGTAAGTATATTTAGTTCCGCACTCCGATATCATAAATGTAATTAAATTTTGTTTCATCGGAAATCAAATCTTCGAATTGAACGAATCAAATTAACTGTATCACAGAGACGATGTGTAATTAAACAAAAGAACGTTGAATGATTAGTTATATATTAAAGTTTAATCAATTTAAATAGAATGTGGGAAATTTGTTTAAATACAGATCGACTAATAAAATAAATCAAACTAGGAACCGAGTTAGAACGACCTTTACCGCCATTTATACAAAAAAACCCACGAGTCAAACAGAGGAATGTTCACCATTACTTGAGTATGTACATACCTTAAGAATTTCTTGTACGAACCGGTCGTCAGCTGAGAGCGAATAACAAAAATGGCGGCGAAGCAGCAAGTGTTACTGATAACACAATCTTATCCTGGACATATTTAAATTCACATTATTTACCTTTTACGTTGTAAATGGTTTAGTTATCAATTCATGGATAATCGCGAATAACTATTTGTTTTTAAAGGATGATGTTGTAATACCAATAATTAAATTATTTTCCGCTTTATAAGTAAGTCAAAGACATTTGTATAAAATATACTTACTATGTGATCCATGACTCCGGTATATCCCCATAGGCTGTTGAATTACCGATTTAAAAATCTACCTCGACTTGTACGGCCACTTGACGGAATAAAACACTATTTGCAATAGTAGGTACGATTTATATATAAACCGTGTTTTTTCTTTTACTTTTGTTACATAAACGTTTAAAATGTTTAAGGGTACTTACGTATTAGCGCCACCGCGCCAAAAATTCTGGTAACGGTTTGGTTAGGTTAGGTTAGTATATTAATATTTTATTTAAATAACTGTTTCCGGTGCGTGAAAGTGGTTAGGGGTTATTATTCTAAAACTTTAAAATTCAATTCGGGCGACGGATTTCTCGGATTAGAATTTTTGCCGCGGTGGCGTTAATACGTAGGTACCTAAGTACCATTTTAAGCTGGAAAACGGGTAAAGTTGTATTTAACCAATTTTAACTGATCTTTTATAGTGTATTGAGAGATGATTTATGATATTTTTAAAGATGACTCTTAATAAAGATATAATTATCTTGTTATTATTGTCTATGTTTAATTATAGTGATGAAAATTCGCGTAGATTTAGCATGAAAGAATATATCTAAACTTATTCATAATTATTAAATTAGAACAGAACACCACCATTGTAGATAGGGTAGATAAATACTATTTACACAAAACATTCTATTTTATTATGCAGATTATCATATCGCACTAATCAACTTAATGCACTTGCGTTAATAATTAATGCTCGTTGACAATAAACAACATTGTATTGCCATAGAAAAATCTGTGATAGTCTGCTGAATAAAACTAACCCAAAATAAAATTTTCTACAGAATATTGTGGAGGAAGGAAGGTGAACAGTTCCTCCAACCTAAAACCTGACTAGCCCAAGGCCTCAGTGGCTAAGACCGAGAAATTTTATAGTTGTTAGGGTTTGACATCATCACACTGATGGTAGCTGTCGCTGCAATATTTTATCATTATCTAAGGAAATACAAGCCTCTATCAAATACTTTGAAAAAAAGAGAATACTCTAGAATTGTAGGTTTTTTAATAAAATTTAGAGTTTAAAAATAGAGTGTCCCTGTGTTTCTTGTACTTTGCTACAAGTTTTGTTGGAGTGTAACATAAATGTGTTTTAACCCCGTATATAAGTATTTTCAGATAAATAACCGTTTTCTAGTCATATTTCGGACAAAATCCACGGTATATATATACCCCCCACCCACTAAAAACACCTCAGCCCTTCACACGCCCATAATATCGGCCCTCGGGGTTCGCTAGGCATTCTACCCAAGGGACCCGGGCTTACCTTCTCTAGGTCTAGGTAACTTTTCTTGTCTTAACGAACGTTAGACCTTATTTCTTAATTCAGGCCTTTTTGTCACTTTATTTTAAATTGTTAAAAATCTATTTTTTTTAAGTTTACTTAATTATATTTTCCAAATTCTCTAATTTTTTTCGGTTCTCATGGCAATTTTTCGATATTTTCGAATCATTATTTATTGCTTCTTAAAATAACCCTGAGCCTTCGTTCCTTCTAATCTTCTAAATTAAACTTACATAATGCATACCAAATCCTAGACTAACTTCAGTTTAGACCAAAAGGGAAACATTTAGATGAAAAACAACAAATTTAAAGCATCTTAACTTCCTTGTTGGTTATCACGTAGGCTGTTCTGATATAAAATTGTTGTTCCCTTGACATTTCCTACTTCGAATAATGAAATTTTAAATCTAGTTAATAATTGTTTATTAAATGCTATTTAAATATGGTAATAGGCCCAATACGTTCGTACTAGTTAAACTGGTTTCGAATAGATACAGCTATGAAGTAATTTAATGGTCAAAGTAATTATGCAGTAAAAATAACTTCTAAAGATAACTATTTTCTGATATATTGCAGAGCACTAATTAATGTCATTGTCTGATGCAGATAATGCATTGGTTACCCAATTTTATGAGATCATGGCATACTTTTATGCAGTTAAAAATGCATTTGTAATAAAAATAATATCGTGAAACCACCGCTGAAGCGTACTTATAAAAATGTATTAATTTTATTGACAAAAGCCTAAAAGTTTTTTTCCTATAGTTTAAACTCTGTAGTTGACGCTAACTACAGAGCTACAGATAAAACCTAAACCAGGAAACTCGGGAGTATTTGGTTGACTTGTTTTCCCATCATACCGGTCTTTTGAGACATCTCAAACATAAATGGGAACGTTACAAAACACCGCAGGTTTGCACTTAATGACAGTTATTAAATGAAATGTCACTGACACAAGTATAACCCGATTAAAATAAACAACTACAAGACACGTATGGAAATTGAAGAACCGGTAGCGATTCAATTTAGCCGCGTTATAATTAGGGCTGCCAAGAGACGAGTTTTTGTAGGTCACTAATTGAAACTGGATTTATGTAGCTTTTTGTAGAAGTTGCATAACCCTGAACGACGTGGGAATTGAAAATGTTTTGCGTGTGAGCTTTGCTGCGTGAAGATATTAGATTATGAAAACCGTTCCAGAAGATTTCTTATTGTTCCAGAAGGGCGCGTTGATATAAAATTTAGAATACACAAAGCGAAATATTTATTCGCAAAAGACGACAGCGTTAAGTTATTAAAGAAAACATTTGTAAATTTCATACTTTAAGAGCTTTGTGAAGTACTCTCAATATGTGACTTCTGCAAATGCATGGGGAAATTACATATTGTAAAATATAATAGTAATTATTAATAACTAGGAAAAAGCGGCACTTGCGCATCCAACTTTTCTGGCCAACCTATTTGCCAAGTACTAAAACAAAGGCGGTTCATTTCAATAATATGCACAAGTATGGCCTAATATAATAAAAAATTAATAAGAGAATCTGTTTTGCCAGCCCTATATGAGCCAGGTGTAACCGTGAGCTTGAAGCAAATATATTACATGTTTTAACAAGTTTTAAACGTGCTCAAATCGTATTATTACATGATAAAAATTTAATAGTAATACTTACAAATTCCGTTGAACTTTTGGTTCTTTTTGCAATGGTAATAACCCTATCTAGGGACATAACGAGGATAGTTATAATTGCGGTATAATTTAATAATCAGTGGCGATACAACCTTTTTATTTTTATACACAAATATGTAACACAATACATAAAAATTATAAGGCATGCAACGGGCGGGGCTTATATCTCTTCCAGGCAACTCTAGTAAGAGAAAAACTAAAAAAAGAAACAAGATGAGTGCGAGAAGTGCAGAACCAAATGTTATATTAAAAAAAAATATAGAACCTTAATCTAAAGTAATACAAAAAAGAATATTAATAACAAACTAAAAACTTAAAAGCTAATCTTAGAGATTCATGATCAGCGAATAGTGATGCAATGCAAAATATTTTTTTAGGTCTGGGCTTCAGATTTTTGTGTATGTTTCACGATCATTTGTCAATCTAATAGGCAAGTAGGTGATCAGCCTCCTGTGCCTGACACACGCAGTCGACTTTTTGGGTACAAGGCAAGCCGGTTTCCTCACGATGTTTTCCTACACCGTTCGAGCGAATGTTAAATGCGCACATAGAAAGTCCATTGGTGCACAGCTGGGGATCGAACCTACGAACTCACGGATAAGAGTCGCACTCTCAAGCCACTAGGCTATCACTGCTCTAGTATAGTATACTGGTTGCAAAAGAAAGTACTTGACAGTACTTCATAGAAATCCTATACCGCCCCCAAGTTCATAATCCTTTAGCTAACAGAATTAAGTTTCTTGACAAACAAGCTAGCTTTGAGCTATGGCTTCTTTAACCGAGGATTAAAATATTGTCCTTATTCTACAGTCTGTCTAAATTTAAATTGGATTCAGTCAACTTAAGATCAATATGTTCGAACTATTGTATCAATATGAATTTATAATAATTTTCTTTTTCCAGGTCTAACAAATATTTGCAGAAGTCAGCCATCACAAGAGTCTGCGCCGTCGGAGGCTTTTTTATTTCTATACCCGTATTTTTAACAGGTGAGTTTAACTTATTAAAGTTAACAATTATTATAAATGCGTATAAGTTTGTTCGTAACGCTTCCATGCTAAAAAAATTATTTAATAATTTGGTACACAGAAATTACTTAAAAAAAGTCGTGTCTTCGTATTCCTTCAAATCTAACCCGAAGTTAATAATAAAATCTTTTCCATTGCAGGTATAATACTTTACACATTCATCCAGTTCCACTCTACACCCGCAATAGTCACATCGGTATTTATCGGTGTGGGCATCATATTCTGCGGGTGCGCTATGGTTCACAACGTGTTCGTATGGCAGAAGGAAAAGACCAATTTGGTGAAAGCATTTCGTACACAAGAAATTGCAATGAATACATCGAACGGTGTGGTTATGAATGGACATTTGAATAACACTGGGGCCGGCAATGTTAGCTTTCACAGCATGACTGCGCCGTATACGCATCCAATCACGCTTTTGCAGCAGGGCGGGCCTTATATTATTAGGTAATCTTTTATTTATATAACTTTTTGTAAAAATATTTGATATTTAAATTCTGTTTAGCATTTGAATTATCGGTGTTAGATAAATTGGTAGGTTGAGTACGAAAAAATTTAACAAAACGTAGAAGTTTTATTTTTTAATATTTTGATTACCTTTGATTTCATGTTTCAGGCCTCCAACAAGTACACCACCTGGTGAAGGTGCCGCAACTCCAGGTGTCCCAGCTGCTACCATCGATTTAAGCCACGATACACACGAACTTAGCACACTCGTCTAAACTCCACAGACTATCATAATACAGCTAGTGGTTCTAGCATGGCAAATCTTAATACAACTGTCATATAAATTCTGTGAAAATATGTGACAGTCATACTTTTCTTTACTATTGTCAACGCTAAAGTTACGGCTATGGATAATTATTGGTCTAAATTTAAATAATTTTACAGACCTTAGTTGAAATTATATAGAGTCTGGCTAATGAAAGAAGATAACGAAAAAGCGCGGCAAATTCAATTTTTTTTTAGTATGGTATCCCTAAAAGTTTGATATATTTTGTGGATAACTAACTTGATACTTGATTTTATTTTATTATTTTTTACATTGATAGTAACTGTATTTCTATGAAATTAAATACCATACGTATTTAGTCTTTTACTATTGATACTTAAAATTATTAGCATTGCATGGAAAACTAAAACTATATTTATTATAAAACACAACTTTATTCGGAATAATCAAAATCAGAATCCAAAAAATCAATAAAACAAAGTTTTATATATATAGGCTGTTATACCTATTCGGAAAAAATATATAATATAAATAAAAATGAGTATTTGCATGAAGTATCAAGACAATAAATCGTACTAACCAAAGAAATTCAATGACATTCTGTGTCGCCATCCGAAAGTTTTCAAATAATTCAATTATCTTCTTTCATTAGCCAGACTATTGACGCGACGATATATTATGGCACACTAATTAGTATGAAAATAGAAGTTGACAGACAGAAAATTTTAACTTTTTAACATTTTTAACGTGGAACGTTTTAAACCTTAAACTGATTAACCTAAAATTGACTTACGATTGTTTTTTTGTATATTTTTAATGTTAACACTATTGTTGTATTCTTGACATGTGTGATTTCCAAAAATCATTTCAGTTTGTCTGTACACCAATAACTTCACCAATAACTTTTTTTTGGTTAATGAAAGTAAAATATTGAAAATTTGTATGCGGCCATCTTTGCCTCAAATCAGAGAAGTTTTAACGACTATTTGATCTAATCCCATTGTTCATAAAACGTTTATCAGTCTAATTAAACAATTAAGTAATTGAACACTTTTAACTAAAGTCCTCTTTCGTCTCTTTCTGCCTTATTGTGTTTACGATATGATGAAAGAGAAAGTTTGTTAAGAGTGCTTTGGTTAAAACGGTGTATTTGCCTCATTCATTTGTTACGATTAAAAAACCATTTCAAGAGAAAATAGATCGTTAGAATGACCGTGATTTTTACAACCGATACGGTTAACTGTATTATATCTGTACATAATTATCAATTAATTTAAATTCGCCATTTATTTAAGTAAATCAATAAGATATTTATAAACATTTTATTTAAGAATCAGTGCCTTTAGTAACTGGAATTAAAAAAATATTTTGGTATAAAAATTCATGGGTAATTTACATACTGTCAATTTGTGTTTAAAAGTTATTAGCCGTTGTATATTTACGCTTTTGGAAAAGTTGAGTAAGGCTGAACTGAACAACTCCCTGTTTCGCGAATAATTTTGTATTTAGTTAAATATCATTTACGGCCAAAGTTTACCGTGTGAGTTTTACTTTTAAACCGTTTACGGTAAATAATTTAAACTGTCGTGAACATTAGCCTAAGTTATTTGTCGTAATAGAACGGTCCGCCCCAACGTATTACATACATATTTATCATACTATACAGATACCGGCAAACATCTTGTACAAATGTCCTTGCCTGCGCAGATGCGATTTTTAGGAAGGGCGTGCGTGGCTCACGTGATCGGTAAATCAGTTGACGTTTGTGTCCCGCGCTGCGCAAACTTTCCCCCACTCCCTTGTTTAATGTTCAAGATGTTTGCCGGTATCTGTACCATAAATATTTGGCTCTATCACTTTAATAAACGTGAGAAACATTATATTTCTATTTGAAGACAACGTTAATTTTATGAATACATATTAACCTAACATTCAAAGACAAACTTAGTGCGAACTAAGATCTGTCAAATTGACACAAGTTTTGATATATAAAACAGTTCGTGTTAAGACTTGTCTCTGAATCAAGACAATTGACTACGCAACAAGTGCCATTACTCATTTGTTTTGGAGAAAAAAATTATAAACTATGTAAAATAAAATTGGGAATTCAAGAAAAATACATTTTAAAGTATTTTTGCACATATTTCGCTATTCATTGTTTTTATTCAGATATTTCTTATGAAATATCACGAATAGAACATTTCAGCCAATTCGAGAATGTTAAATAGTACTATATTGGTTGATTTATTGTATATTTTGTACATAAACACGAACCTGGAGGCATAATTAATTTATTCTTAATTAACTTTATGTAATTTTTAGACACGAAATAAAAAGTGTTCAATGTATGTGTGTTATTTTCCTCTTCTAATGTCTTCTTTGGCCCTGAAATAATTTTTTTTAAATTAGTCATAAAATTGTAATAGTAAAAATTAATTAACTAATATATTATTTACATAAAAATTATTGTAGTAATATAAATATCATGTCAAGAATTAGATTCTAGAATACGGGATTACGGAATTTTATGTTTGCTTAATAGGAATTATAATTTAAGAGCAGTGTTGACCTAATGACGTAAGTGTACGATTATTAACCTGGTGAGCCTTTTGAGGTGAGCCATTGAGGTCGAGCCTTCGAATTATGTCTGTACATAATAGAATTTTCATTCTATATGCTCTCTTAAATAAAATACTTCCTCGTACAGTGTAGGAATACATGGTGAGGAAATCAGCAAGCTTTCGAGGTAAAAATTAACGTCAGGCATAGAAGGTTAATCACCTACTTCCTATTAAGAAAAATATAACCACGATAATACGATATTTTTGTTTACTAATAGATAATATTGCGCATAACTATCATCTGTAGGGGCTAGGAACGGAGCATAATCTCCAAAAATTGCGTGACGTAATACTTGAACGCTCCCATAGACGCGATACTTACTTTTTCATACCCTGGTAGAGACCGGTGTAATACCCACTCATGTACCAACTGAGGAGCATTGAGGACACCGCTTGTTGTTCATCCTGTACTTCACCTAACTGTGGTGGAGGTGGTGGAAACGGAAGCTCTATACCACCCATCTAAAATTAGCCATTTTATGTCTTTATTATTAATGAAATATTTTTATTAACTAACTCACATATACAAATCATTAAAACCAAATATTCAGTAGTGGCACCTGTTTATCCCATCTAATTATGGCCAACATTATCCATCCTTAACCACATGATTATAATATGTATCTATTTATATATTATTAGCAGACCGGCCAAGCGTTGCTGTGGCTAAGGATTTTGTTATATTACATCGTAGCAAACTATTCAAGGGAAACGGTAGGAGAACACCAGTCATGGGGACCACCATGCTTTTTTGGTGGTTATGCCATTAAATTGTAGCTTATGTGAAACGTTGGTACTTTCAACACAGCGCCATCTGTTAGAATTGTGACTATCAAATAATAAACAAACATTTTGCAATAAAATAATATTGCGGGTATACATTGAGATGTAAGCTATCCTATCTTTTAAGTTGGATCAATCTACACACGGTGTGCAAATTTGATTGATTTCGGTTCGGTAGTTTAGGAGTCCATAGCGGACAAACAACGTGACACGTAATTTATATATATTAAGACTAGCAGTTTCGCGCCCGCTTTGCTGGACGAATTAAAATAAATTTTATGTTTCATTATTTTATTTTTTTTCATATTTTTATTATTCTTCTTTTTAACTTCCCGCTAAGAAAATTGAAATATTTCGAAAATCGAGTTTTTAACAGATGTTGACGTTTAGAGGTTCTAGGAAGCCTCCCCGAATGTTTCCGCGGTGAAGTCCGTATGGATAAATTTTCATAAAAGTAAAACAGCAATAAAAAAAGGAACGTTGGAATTTAAATAGCCATAAACCATCTAGGAAAAATTTCGCATCGAATGGTGGTAGTTTCATGTCGATACGATCAGTGGTTTAGGCGTGAAGGAGCCTCAAACGAAGACCATTTTTCTTTTATATATATAGATATTAAGATGATGCTTATACTGTGTAAATGATAATAATTAATAATGAATGAAATTAAATTGTCTAAAATATTTAAGACACAATTTATTTTTAATTTCAAACTTGTTTAAAAATTCTTGTAAATCATATCAATGTTCATTGTCAATTTATGCTTCCTATTATTATGATGTGAATTTCTTCTATGTGATACTAGAATACTCGCATATTCTATAGTGAAAGAAAATTGAGAAAACCACGTCTACGACGCAAAATCTTTAATTGCACATATTAACAAAACTCATCAAGGAAACAGATACATATTTTATATGTAACAAATTTATTGAAATTGAGAAAAAAAAAGGGTGCGTGTACTTATGTACGCGCGTAAGAAGTTATACTTCTTTTCTCTCATCAATTTTTCATAACGCGCCTAAAGAAGTATAAGTTCAAAAAAAAATTAATTTTAAATATTAATAGAACCTTACTTTTCTCAGCTATGGAATATAAATGAACAGTATATGTAGTAATTTAAAAATACTTTTTCTTTTAGTATTCCTTTAAATTACCAAATTAAGTCTTAACTATATTAATCTAGAGTTTTTGTAATAAATTTCATTATTCCAATAAATAACTTACATTTCTAATCATAGACATATCAGGCATTGGTATATCTGGTAATGTGAATGAATCATTTCGTGATTTCTGTTTATTCCTTTTTTTGTCAGAACTCACTCTTTCATAAATTTGTTTTAAAGAATCTGAAAACATAGTATTAATAGACTCTTAGTCTTTAAATAACAATAATTCTTAATTATTAAAATAATTCATAAGAGTGACCTTAAGGACCAAATAATCATATTAAGTTATTTGACTTATAGAAAGTGATTAATAAAATATTTGTGGTTGCAGTTAAAACTAAAGATTTACATATTTTTTCAAAGTTTTACTAATTTCATTATTTAAAAAATCTTGTTACACAATACTTAGTCCTACATATTTTCACAGCTTATTCATGTCCAAACAAATACAGAACACAAATAAATGATTGCTAAGTAACAAAAATTAAGAAAATGTACAATACACAGATTTTTTTTAATTCTTACCCACACGTGCTGTGGCTGCTAATTCTGCATCATCAGCATATGGAGACTGGCTCTCAAATCCATCATCATCTTTTTCTAAATGAGAGTATTGAGTCTTTTGATGGTTATTTACAGTTGGGTGCAAAGAGCTAAGTTCTACTTTCTGTAAATTATCATATTCTGAAAAATTTAGAACTGTATAAGCATGCTGAAATTGTTGATAATTTAAATATACAATTTTTTAACATATTTAATTTTGAATTTGCACTAAGCCTATATTAAAACTAGCTTAACCTCGGAAGGCCTTAACACAATTTCTAATTTATATCTTAATATATATATAAATTATGTGCCACGTTGTTTGACCGCTATGGACTCTCATACTACCGAACCGATTTCAATTAAATTTGCACACCGTGTGCAGTTTGATCTAACTTAAAAGATAGGATAGCTTACATCTCAATTTATACCCGCAATATTATTTTATTGCAAAATATTTGTTTTTTATTTGATATTCTAACAGATGGCGCTGTTTTGAAAGTACCAATGTTTCAAATAAGCTACAATTTAATGGCATTACCACCAAAAAAGCATGGTGGTCCCCATGACTGGTGATCTCCTAACATTTCCCTTGAATAGGTTACTACTATGTAATATAACTAAAACCTTAGCCACAGCAACACTTGGCCGGTCTGCTAGTCTTTTATAAATAGGCACCTAGTTATAAATAAAAATTTGTTTTTGAAATGTTATGAACTATGCAATAGGCATTGACTATCTGAACTATGATATAGAGTGCTCAAATTACCCTTATTTTTAAAATTACACTGTTTTATCTAAATTTGTCTTTTCATCACATAGTACATACAATTTCACAGAAAGAGTACAATTATAAACTGATATAGATATGTTGAATGCAGGGGTAAGTATCTAGGTAGGCTATATAAATAATATATTAAATGGACATATAGCTTAAACAATACAAACAAGTCGGTACAAGTTAGTACAACAGGTATAAAGAGTCCAAACACAAAACCAATGAAAAATGTATACTTTTTTCTTAGTATTCAAGGCAAATCAAATGGTAAACAAAGCAGTTCAGTATATGTGAGAATAAATAAATAGGAGGTACAATTGTTTACCAGAAAATTGGACTATACATTCTCTGTCATTAAGTATAGATAAGATTACTGCTTCATACTCTAATCCATCTTCATCATACAAAGCTCTGCATGACATTCCAGCCTTCCAGTTAATTTTCTTAGCTTTTTTCTTGGGTTGTTCCTTCTTAGGCTTTATTTGATCTGTAATGTAATGGCTTTACATGAGATTTTATATTTAATGTTCTGTTGATAGCTATAAATAGTGATAGAACTATTCAATAATTAAAAAGGTTTGGCAAAGGAAATCTTTAATATATGTATATTAAAACTTAACAACAATTTTAGATTTTACAACTACTACTACGCATAATCTTAATTTTTAATATAAAACTTTAAGCAGTAAATTAAATTGTTTTAACATACTCTGTTTTGAATTAGTTTCAGTCTGAGTGTTGGTGGACATGGCAATCCTTTTGGCTACTTCTACGTTGACAATTTTTATAGCTTTATCATATGCATTATTTAGTTTCCTGTCATCCCAGACATTGCCGTCATCTTCTTCAGATTGAGACTAAAAATTACATATAATTTTATCATAATAAGGGTGTCCCGGGACACCCGCTGTAATTTTGCATACTTTCAAATATTTTAAAGTTTCTAAAGAATTCGTACACAATAATTCGAAACCGTGGATTATACATTAAAATGTGTAAATTGTAATGCTATTAATTGTTTTCAGTGTCCTTCTGTTTAATATAATAAAAGCTAGGTAACCAATTATAACAAAAACTAATACTAAAAACTTTCTTACTTCATCCAAGTCCATTCCCTTTACGTAAAGTATTTCATTCTGAGACATGGTACCGAAGATTTTTAGATAAATGTAGTACAAATAACAATGAAAATTTGTCCAACCCAAAAATTTTTAAGTTTTTAATTATGTTAAAATTTTACAATAAAAATAAACAGCTTGCCACAGCATCCGATTTTACTACAGCCTTCAGGTCCCCGTCACAGGATTTGTATAATAGAGTAGCATTATCACAGATTAAGTTTAAATTAAATTTTAATAGAGGCTACTCTGGACTAAAAACGTATGTCACGCCCTCCTTAGTTCAGCCGATGAACTAAAACGACAATAATTATAGTTGATAACATTATATTCAATTATTGCGTACGTATTGTTAAATATGAAGAATGGAGTCATCAGAAGAAAACCCATTACCGAGCGCATAAACGTAATCAAATCATTTGTAACACACATATTACGTACAAGATATTTCACAAGAATAAAATCGTCAATATTTTAACACAACCGCTACTGTGACTATAAACTAAGTAGTCCAAAGAATATATACATTTAAGAGTTAGGTTATAATGTTCAAAGATAACATTGCGATTTAAAATAAGATTCGATCCATTTAGAAAACCAACATATTATGAAAGATACGATGTAAAGCTGACTATAAGCAAAATAACTTAAGAAAAAATTTAAATCAATTCTTAACTATTAGTAGGTACAGGTCATTCATATATTATGCATTCGATACAAGAATTGATTATTTCACCAAAATATTGCTACAGGTAAGAGGGTAATGTGAACCGCTTCAATGGCTTTTCCTACTAAACAAGACATTGGTCAAGTACTGCAATTGCCAAACATAAAACTATCAAATACATAACATTTAATTTTTATTAATTCCTTACCTAAACAGGTTGTGCATTCACATATAAACTAGTAGCAAATTAATGATATAAACAAAATTATATATTGATATAAATATTCACTTAAAATCTAAATGTTGAAGCTCCAATAAATAATCAGGTCAAAAGTTAATTAACAGTCATAATTTCACATCAGACTAGGTTTCTATTTTGTAATCATTTTAGTCCCTTTTTTCCATTTCATTGAGTACTTGCTGTTTTACAATTCTCACTTTTTAAAAGTAGAAATAGGTTTTTAATAATCTACTTTTATAAATGACTACTTAACTCAAACTAAAATTGGATTTCAGTTTAAGTTAAGCCTTAAGTAGCAGCAGGAACAGGTCGGAGCTACGCTGTCGTGTGTGTACTTTGTAGTAGTGTAGTAACATGTCTCTTTGCTGCGAACGAAGCGTTTTCGACAATACAATTACGCAAAAGCGGTAGTACATGTATGTCGAATACTTTTCGGTAGTAATATGGCTAGACCCCCAGGGTATAATAAACACTATATAGCCAGTCTTTGGCTAAATGATCTGTATTCTGTAGTCTTTGAATCGATTGTCCTTTGTAGACGCTAGACTACATCTTATTATATCTGTATTCTGTGAAATAAAACGTTAATAATTTGGCCTAAAGATCTAGATATCTTAGTCAAGATGCCTTAACAGTAGTGTATGTAGAAAGTCGAAACTTAATTTATATGGAAACGACAGTTCGTGTGTGCGGTACCGGGCCTAAAACCGTACATAGAGGACATGGTCGAAATTCTAAGGCAAAAAGCACGAATTATAAAAAATCTTATACTTGACGCTGGCTAATGCACAAACCGTGCCAGAGCCATAAAAAAAAATATCATAAACATTAAACAATAACAGATATAATTTTTCACAAAATAATAAAATAAAGCTGTTCTTTTATAAATGAGAAGTGAGCACCGGGCATTATATTTGGAAGAATGGATAACATTTATTGTTAAAATAAGAAGAAATAACCCTAGTAGTGACTAGTGTACTTGCTTATGTTACTATGTATGTGTACTCGCAATGTTCTCTTTGAAAACTCACTGTGGTAACCATTCTTCATTTTCGTTATTTAATCTCCAAAAAACGAGAAAATGTCGTTGGTTGAACAAGAAACTACAGATATTAATGAATACCATGCAATATTTACAAAATTGAAAAAGCTTCATGACATATCTAAAACTAACAACAAACCTGAGTTTGGTGAAGAAACCCATGAGGATGACTATAAACTTGCATCAAAACGTAAAACGGAACTGGATTTTGATGGTTTAAGCGATGATAGTACATTAAACTCATCTATAAATAAAACTAAACGACGAAGGTTCTCTGACAGTCAGGATTTCAGCTCAAGTGAATTTTATGTCGATTATTATCGAAACACAGGCAAATGTAAAAGGGAATTTGCTGTGACACTCTCAAATTTACCTGGGGAGTGGACATACGACCAAATTAAACAATATGTTACTGAGGAGGTATGCCATAAAATAATATTTCATTAAGTAGCTTATTTCAATGATATAATGCAAAAAGTTTTCTCACTATTACTTTTGGAAACAATATGTTCTGAAATGCTTGTAACTAATGAAAGACAAAAAATATCTTTTTGCAACAAATGATATGTAACTATTGTCCAGATGAAGGTAATTTTAATTCCAAATTAGTGGTTTTTTACAATTTGTCTCATTTTCAGTGTGGTGTGAATGTTATGGGCATGATCGATTCCAGGTGTCAAAAGTCTGATTACCAACTGCGGCTTAGGTTTATTAATAGATATCAGTATAATTATATTCTCAGTAAACTGAAAAATAAAGAAGGCGAAGGAAAACTTAAAATTGAAGTTGAAGGTAAGTAAATACAGTAGAAGTATTAAATAAATTTGCACTAACATCCATATTTGCTACAGTTATAAAATTAGATTATATCCAGAAAAGATTTTATTGCTGGTAACTCTTGATGCAATACCAGGGCTGCCAGATGAAAAACAACATGATTGTACACCAACTACAAAAAAAATCTTATTCCAAGGAAATTTTGAAATGAAAAGATAACATAAAAGTGGAAAGTTTTTATTTAAAATCTCTGGCTGCCTTTGTCTTCAAGAGTGTAACTTTAAAACTCCATATTCTGAAAGAACAATTTCAACGTCACACACAGTCCACCTGGCTTTAAATTGGTTTTTACTGGGCCCTAACCAGTCCTTAAATAAATTTAATTTTTCCCAATCGGGACAATACTTCTGTGCTCTGTGTTTGTTCCTCTCTGTTGCAGAAAATTCTCCTCTTTTGGCTAATTTCTTTTTTGGTGTACCTGGCGCAGGTTGCTCTCGTTCATTTTTACTATCCATTCTTGCTTAAGCGTATTGAAGTAACACAAAAATACTAAAGACTATGCAGATTAAAAGTGGATATAAACACTTAGAGCTCGAAACTGATGAGAAAAACAGGTTTTTGACTGTTCCAATACAAGTCTTTACAAGAGAAAAATAATTAGTTTTGTAACAATGCATTCAATTACAGACTTTATATGAAAAAAAGGTCTTCAGGTGTAAAGGGTCTTCATTCAAGTAAACATAAGGTTGTTGGGAAATTCCCCAAACATAATACTTTCTGGAAAAATCATACATTTTCTGTACAATCTTGATCGTACATGAGTAAAAATGACAAAAAATCGTAGGAGTATGATTCTTTAATCTTATTTCAATGAGCAGTTACTAATAATTGCCACACTAGATAAATTAAAGTCAGTCAATTAGTTTGTAATAATGTTCTGTGCTCAATGTATATTTGACATTATGACTATTGAATCTTGTAATCTGTGGATTCTAGTACCAAAACCTAAAATTTCAAATTGTTAAAACATTTTAACTGGGACTAGTATTTTATTTTATTTGTTTGTTTATGCAATATTAGTATTTATGAAATTAATTGTATGGGCTTTAATTTGTTTAGAGACCTACCATTTTCTTCAATAAATAATTATGGGCAAGTAGAAAAATTTAATTATAAAAATAATTTTATGTTTTTGCATACTTAAAGATCAAGATTTACTCTTATCTGAAATGAAATTAAATTGACATAGATTATTTTTAGTTTATATACATTTGATACTATTCGATTTGCTTATTGTAAACTACGTGAGTTTGTATTTTTAGGCGAAAGTGATTCAGAAAGTGAAGACTCTGATGCAACAGTGTTAGTTGAGAAAAGGTAAGAGAAAAACTGGTATTGTACCTGACTTCTAAAAAATTATCTAAGTGAGCAGCGTTGGTGTAGCGGTTTCAGCAACGGCAGGTTCGAACCCCAGCTATGCACCAATGGACTTTCTGTCTATGTGCGCATTTTATCTCTGGCTCGTACGATAAAGGAACAGATCTTTGGGCAACCGGCATGTTTTAGACCCAAAAAGTTGACGGTGTGTGTCGGTCGCAGAAAGCTGATCACCTACCTTCCTATTAAAAACAAAATGATCACGAAATCTAAAGCCCAGACCAAAGGTAGCACTGTTTTTTTTCTATTTAATCATCCAATTATGTATATGTTGATGATGAGATATGAACAATAAATCATATTGTATTGGGTAGGTTTATAGGTTATTCAAAGTTTGTGTAACTTTCAAATGACTCTTATAACAACTATGTAATTAAATTTATTTCTTTAGTTTGAAATTATGTGTTTTGTCTTTTTCAGTGAACCACCATCATGCAAATCCCAGCCTAGTGAAGCTGGTGTAGAAAATTATCTGTATGGTTTGAATCCAGAGTTTCTAAAAAGTCTTAATATTGAACCACCATTAGTGAAATGGATTAGTGTTTCAAATGTGAGTTTATAAATATTCTTAAACAGTTGCATTGGTTTTATATATTTGTCTGTGATAACATGTGAAATATTCATATGTAATTATTTATACTTTTATATCTCAACTCAATTAACATAGATGCAATTAGTATATGTATTTACAGTATAAAATGAAACAAAACCTTTTTGATGTTATACTTCTTTAGGCGCGTTATGAATAATTGATGAGAGTCAAATTTACAAAGCGCGCGCACCTGAGACACAAAGTTGTCAGTGTGATTATAGCGTGCGCGAGCGAGATGGGAATAATACAATCTACAAGTAAAAAGAAATAGAATATGCGTGACGTTAGCAGCTATGCCAAGAATTTTGAATGACCATAATGACATTTACCTTTTAAACAAATAAAGCAGTTTTAATTGTTTTTTCAAAGAAATTTAGCAATGCTTTTTCTCAAAGACCTATTGTTACTTAGTTAAAAGGTTATGAAACATACCAAGTTATTAAATTGAATGAATAATATAATAAAATACTAAATAATAATAATAATTGTTATTAACATTAATTAATAATTGAATAATATACTAAATATTAAATATTATTAAATTGTTTACGTTAAATATTAATTAATTATATTTAAAAAAATAATGAAAGTCAAAGTATAACTTCTTACGCGCGTACATAAGTACACGCACCCTTTTATTGTTCTATTACTTATAATTTTTAAGTTTTATGTTATATACACTTTTAGTTTCGGTGTGATAAGTCTGAACTACGGGATCTCTTCGAAATGGCAGGACGCGTGGTTATATGCGTGATATTATATTCCATTAACAAATGTGCGAAAATTATGTACAGCCATCCGCTTGAAGCTGTTCAGGTAAAAACAAATGTTAGTTTCATATACACAATAAAAAGGCGCCTTTTAAGTATAACGTAAGCACTATAGGGGGGTCTTTGATTTTCTTATTTGGTGATTACGTCAACAGTAATTATTTACCAACACATTGTCTATGCTTGAAATAGAAGTGCATTTTCGAGGATTCCCACAAAAATTTAATATGTTCATGTACTTTTGAGAGCTTTGCTTACTTTTGGTGACAAAAGAGGGGGGGATAAATTGCAGTAAATTTGCTTATGTAATACTTGAATGCCTCCAAAGATATATTGATATAGAAATTACAAATATTTATTTCAGGCGATATCTTTATTGAATGGTCAAATATTTTATGGGCAATCCCTAAATGTTTCCTTAGATCCTATGGCAGATTCTGTAATACCCTTACCAAAAGGTCTCCAAAAATTTGGCTTAGGTCTTGGCCAGAACGGAAAACCCCTACGCGATGTTGCAGCAGAATATGAATGTTTTGTGAATGGTGCTCCTTCGTCTATGAACGCATCCTTGTTCGGAAAATCAGTAGAAATTCCCGATGATTCTGATCGATACTCACCTTCTAAACCTAGCGGGTCGTCGGGCCAGTTTGGTGCAATTGGTCAAAAAAAAATACCAGCTTATCAGCCTACTAATTCTAGTAACCCACTTATTAGTCCATCGCATTTTGTACCGACCCAACCTTCTAGATTATTTATGGGAATTAGGCATGAAAAGTCTTCAGGTATGGTTCTCAATAACTTAGCGAAAACGTCAATGGGTGGTATGCAATCGCCTTCAGTTGGTCAAAAATACAAACCTTTGACAATTCAAAGTGGTCCATCTCTAAATGGTCCACCAATAGATAAGTCTAGGTGCTTAAATCCTAACATGCAGAACTTTCCTAGGCCTAACTACAATCAAGTTACAAATGTTCCGGGTCAATATCCGCCCCGTCCTAATTACCCTGGATCTAATTTTCAAGGTCAGCCAGGACCTAGTTTTCAAGGACAACCTGTGACTAATTTCCAAGTTTCAACAAATACAGGACAAATTGGACAGGAAAATCCAGGATCTTTCAATTTGCGAAATCATCAAATTCCTCCGAGTTTTAGGCTTCAAGGTCCATTTATGCAAAGTGGACCTATGCCAAGAATGTTCCCATCTGTTCAAAACACAGGTCCTAAGCCTAATAACCCTTTACCCGTACCCTCACCTGTTCAGCCCATGGCAGCATCGCCATCTAGACCTTCGAATGGGCCAGGGTTATCTCATGGTCAAAGAAGCTTGCAACCTGTTATGGTACTGAAGGGAAAAGATCCTTTTACTCTTCATATTACAAATGTAAGTATACTATTTAAGAGTTGAAGTGGTAATAACATTGTTTCCATATGAGAAAATAATAAATTAATAATAATATTCAAGATGTTGATTGCACTTGCATGTATAATAAAATATATTTATCTGAGCCATAACTTGTTACAACCAAGAATTAAGTCGGAAACACACTTACGTGTCGTGGCGTGTCGTGACGCGCCAGAAGCATATTTTAATATGATTAGACAGAACGTGTTGCGACACGACACAACATGCAAATATGTTTCTAATCATATTAAATATATGAAACCAATATGCTTCTGGCGCGTCACGACACGACACGTAAATGTGTTTCCGACTTTACAATGAATTCAAATAAATAATGCTGACATCGTCCTTTATTGTATGACGTATTTTATATTTGATTTGGTTGTAAAATTTGTGATGTTTCGTTTATATGGTCACTCAAAATGTATTTGTCCATTTTTTATTTTGCCTTTCTAGTTGCCAGCGCATGTAAGATTTGCCAATCTATGTGATAAATTGTCGAAGGTTGGTCAAGTAGTATCATTAGAATTTACTACGCCTGGTTCCGCGTTGGTAAAATATAGCAACCACCTTGAGGCAGAGAAGTGTTTTCGTATCCTTTTCTTATTAATAAATCTTCTTATATTTTATTTAGGTTATTCTCGGTCCAGATAGTCCTGGTACAGAACTGTACTCTGTAACTTGCAATAGCGATGTCGTTCCCGCCGTTTGTGTAGATCTATAAATATTCTTTGGCAAACCAATTTTTAAGTCTTGTTCTACATGTCTAAAACTTTCCGAGACTTAGAGGGAGGGGAAAAGGAAGATATGTTAGGAATTTTATGAATTTAATTGTCATTAAAATATTAAAAGTGTCGAAAATTAATACAAATTATAATTTTTTTTTTTTATAATTTATTTCTTCGATATTAAAATCACGTGGCAGTTTAATTTACTATTCGTCATTTGAGATTTCAATAAATTATTTTGCATAAAATATAAAATACTAATATTTCATAAATTCCCTTTTCGAAATTTTAATTTTAAAAATATAATTTCTATAAGGTAATTTGCGCTTCTCACTCTCTAACAATCGGTCTCATTCGCTCTCTCCCTTTTCTTCGACAAAAACGCTGCACATCTTCGTGACGCTAATAATATTATTATTGCGTTTTATCCGTAAAAATTTTACCCGCATGCGCCTAAAGAAGTTTCACTTCAAAAATTTTAAGTCGTGAACGCAATGGCTATTTCTATTGAGTGACAGAATGGACCGGAACAGTGCTGTACACTTCACACGTGTTCGCGCAGTACGCTCGTTCTTTCGAGGATAATAAAAAATCGTTTAGTTAAATGGCACTATACTCAAAGCGGCCCCGTGGTTAGGGTAGAAGGACTCCTTTCTCCGCAATTAGACTCGTGGTTGGTCCGTTGTGCGTACAAGCGGCCCCGTGACGTAATAAGATAATTGATGCATAAATGTATGAAACATTTATTTTCATAAATTTTTTTCATACATTGTCTTATTTCATTAGAATTTACTTATTATTTATTACTAATTTATTTATTTATATCCATAATAAATTCTTAATAATATTATCAGAATATTTCAGTCCATCGCGGTTCGGTCACGAACTTGGAATGGTCTGAATAGACCATTTTTAAAATGGTAATGTTATAATAATTTATTTATAATTCGATCTCATTCTCCAAATAAATTAAAGCATTCGATTCCGATTGGCGATTCATATGAAAAAAATACGGCGTCAGATGATATATTATCTCAATACTTTTTCCACTTCCACGCTTAATGGAACACCTTGAACACTTCAGAAATAGTCCAATAATGAGATACGGGTCCAAAGTCCTCAATTGGCCCCGAAGGGAACATAAAGCTCGCAAAATGAGTATTTTACTTTCAAATGAGTCTTAAATTTGTTTATAGCGATAAAAATTACGCGCCTACTTTGTCATATACATTAATTTATATTATGTTTAAATGCAGGAAGTTTTAAGTTTCTTCGCCTTACAAGACGTAAAATACTGGTAAAAATTGTAGAACAGTTCTTAGAAAGTTGTTAGTGTTGACAGTTATGAAGAATAAAACAATATTAAAATTCATTCAACATTTTGAGCAGTTTGAGTCAGAGGTCTTAGATTCAATCCCTAGTAAAACAGTAATTGATTCTCAGGTTTACACGGTTTTTCAGGAAAGGCATCTACTTGCAATAAATTTGGCCTAATTGAGTCAAAAGCACAAAATAATAATTTTTTTTTTGGTTTGGGAAATGAGAAATTTCGTCTCCAGTTCATTCGCCGACACTTGACGCATGTTTTCGTTTGACCAATCACAATCTGAATCGCACTATCGCTTCGGCTCTCGTTTCGTTGTCGAGTTTTTAGTTTTAATAGAATTACGAATATTTTAAGATTGATATGTATTTTTATGATAAGCTAGTTATTAAATTTATCTTAATATAATTTAATTAAGCCATGTAAATAAGTTAAATAAGTGTTTAGTTAACCAAATACGAATTTGATTAATAATTAGATATGATAATTTAACGAAAAGCTTGCTATTATAACGATACCTTGGAAATAAGTTTTATATTTGAATTTCTATAGATCTGTAACTAAAGATTAAAGATTTTTCTGAAGACCGTCACTTAGGGCTAACATTACCTATTGTAATTGTAAACTAGTTTAGTTAATATCATTAGATTAAAACCTTTTAACACGAATAGGCTATTTGAAACTATTTTAAAAACCATTTTAGTTAGTGAGTATAGAACCTATACATATTGTTATTTTATTAAGTTTTATTAATTTAAATTTAATATTCATAATTTAAAGAAAAAATATTTCCTAAGCAAGATGGCTTCCTACGATGCATGTAAACAAACTTCAATCTTATTTTTGTTTTAATTATCATTCTTAAATTAAATAAATAACCATATTTCGTTTAGTTAAACTTCAAAACAGTATTAGGATTAGACAGGTGAATACATATTATATAGTATATACGTTGTTTCGACTATCAGTGACACCTTTGTGTCACGTGACTGTCGTATAAATATTTTAAATTATAGATTTTTTTATTAAATTAATAATGAATTTTCTCCATATAACGAATTTCAATGCCAAGTTTTTGCCAGATTACTCATAACACATTATTTTACACACTGTCAAATAGCTAATTGTCGAAAACTTGTAGACTTTAAAGCAGTCATCGTTTTCTTTATTAATATAAAATGAAATTATTATTTTGACTAAGTGCACAAATAAAAAAATATCACGAAAATTATTAATGCTTCCACGTCAGCTTAAAAAGGACTGAACCACAATGTTACATGCAAACATTTCACTGTATAATTCGTGTTCATTCGTAGCACAGATTATACTAATCAACTATTTAATTTAATTTTGAATAATGCATGCATAAGTTTGTATACAATTTTACTATAACATTTGTCTAATGGCTTTATCCAAACTTACATCTAATCTAATGCATAAGCGTCAATTTCTTATATTTATGATTATTTTGCTCCCACGCACTTATTAATAGGATTTATTAGTAATTACTTAGAATAAATACTTATAATTATATATATAGCATAAAAAATAGTTTTTTACTAACAATACCTTGGAATCAATAGTTAATTAATATAGGAAATATATTTAAATTAAACTTATTAAGTTTAAATTATGATTTTTATACGAATTCATGTATTTAGTGTATCTCGTTAATTTAATTTTGACTAACACACCTAATCAGTTTAAAATGTCGGAATCAGGAGTTAGCATATTACGTTAAATGGCATAATTTGCATAATTTAAATGTATTTAATAAATTAAAATAATATAAGTAATGGTGCAACTTGTATTACTAGATCGATAGATATTTTATACGACTAGAATTTTATCAGTTTGCTATGTTATATATGTACTATAAATAAACTAGAAATACTCGCGAGTGAAGTCCCTAGGTGGACACTACCTTTATCTATTTGTTTCTCTACAGTAGTATTCTAATAAAGTTTTTTAACGCATAATATGTTTCATTTGACCCCGATTCAATAAGTCTTAAACCATTTGAATATGGGAGCTCCCCGGTAACAGCTCCTTCCACTTGACCGTATATAACGAAGAGCGGTTCGAATCGTCAACCACCAACCAGTTTTCGAGCGACTTGATCCCTTGGGGTTGCGTAGAGATGTGGGGGCATTTTCTACCGCATTTACCACGGATAGTGTTCAGAGGAGTTGTTCGGATGATGTTGTTGACCTGCAGCTGAGTTTCCCCATCGGACGTTGAGGCAGAATATGAAATTCCACATGTATCACCTCGACGTCCGACGGCACGTTTATTAAGGCAGTTGAGGCAAAACGAATATTTAAGGCAGTTTTTACAGCGCACCAGCACTGTGGAAACAGCTAACCGCTGAAGTATTTCTGAACCAAATCGACGTAGGGTCCTTCAAGAAAAGAGCCTACCAATTCTTACAAGGTCGACAACGCACTTGCGAGCTCTGGTATTGAGTGTCTATGGGTGTCAGTAAACATCAGATGAGCCTCCTGTTCTATTAAAAAAAAAAGCACTTGATATTAGAACACATTTTCTAATAAACGTAATTTTTTTTATTGTAGACGTCGCAACAGATAGATATTACTTGCTCAGTGTTATAAGTGATGCTTCCCTTTGCATATATGATATAAATTTTAATAAACAATATTTGTATAAGTTAAAATACAAATCTTCATGAGTTATACGATATATACATATACGGGAACCAAACCAAACATTGTTTTGAAGACGCTAGACCCAGGTAAGTAGCAACTCTTGAAATGAGATTAACAATTTGTGCGGTAACTTAATCTACGCTTATGCGATAGCCGAAATTCCTCAAATCTGAACGTTTCACGGGTAAATGACGTCATTAAGATAATGCGAAATGCTATAGGACCGTGATAATTGAGCCTGGTCTGATAGTAATTGAAGTTTGAACGGATATTATAAAATTTAAACTGTACCCACTGTTTGTACGTTTTGTAGGTAATATAACAAAGAAATCTTAATATTTTTAAATTATGCAAACTCACTTTGTATTATATTTGACTTAGGTATAAGCTGACAAATAACAATCATTTACCGGCCAAGGGCATGTCACCGATCAATAAATAAATGGGAGTCATAAATTATAATATTATCGCTCCATTTTCTTTGATTTGTTTGATCACGCTTCACGTCAAAATGACAAGTGGCAAGGGCGCAAAGAAATATCCCTGGTTTTAGTATTTCTGATGTGGCATTTATTATTTTTTTGATTGAGTATGGACATGGTTTTTTAAGGTTAGAAAAATAAATCGCAAATAAATACTGGCATGTACTTTTAGCGTAACATACTCTAGTTATGATATTATCATCGTGGTCTATCTCATATAGTTCGGGTTTTTTTAAATTATATTTGCTAACCTTTCTGTCATTCATTCCTTTTATATATGACTTATATAGTGAGGCCTACGGCGTAGCCGCCGTAGCTGAAGATGTCACGCTACGACGTAAATGGTAAATGGACATTTTTAATTTTTCATATATCCTTCATTAGTTTAGTTTGTTTTTTGTTCATGTTTAGTTTTTTCTTATAACTTAACTTTCTTAAATATGGAATATGTATTTTTGCACTTCTTGCCTACCTTATCTAATTTAATACATTTTTTTTCTCACAGTGGTTGCCTGGAAGAGATCGCTCGAAAGCGATAACGCCGCCAGTTGTCCTCCGTTTCATTTAATTATGATAAATTTTTATATTGTAATGCAACGAAGTGTTATATCAATAAATAAATAAATTATATTGTTATGAAATAGGCGCCATTTTGTTTGTCAAAGACCAACGAGCTTCAAAATGGCGACAAATTATTGTCTCAACATTATTGATCAAGCAATCAGTTATGATTCCAAACAATAGCTACCAAAACATACAGTTCATTCTCATTAATTGAACTTTGATCGCGACAGCAAGCGTATTTCATTGTTCGAACAACAATTATTGCAATATCAAACTATCGCCATTACTTATCGATAAAACTTTTCGAATAATCGGCGGAACTTTATTAAGTGGAGCTGTGCAAGTTATTATATCATGCATTTATTACTAAAAGTATTTTTAAAACGGTAACAAGTTGCAATCGAATTCAAAATAGTTTATTAATTAAAAATCAGGCCCTACCTATTAAATGTTAGGAAAGCAAATATTATATTAATTTGTAGACTTACAAATAAAATAATTGCTCGTTTATTTAATATAGAAGATAATATATAGACTTTACATAATAATTAGTACTTTTTCTATAAATTAATTTGGCCTAGTGGAATCAGCATCGGACTCTCATCCCTGAGGTCGTAGGTTCGAATCCCGGCTGTGTGACAATGCGCTAAAACCATCTGTCTGTCATTAATGTCTGCCACGACCACAGGGATGTGCGTCCCATTCGGTAGCCACTAGGTATACTATAAGCCTATATGGTATAGCACCATAACACTGGTGATAAAATCCCTGTTTCCATTTAGAAATAACATACGATCGGAACTATCTAAAAGTTTTCAATATTTTTAAAAATATATGAAATGTTTCATAACAGTAACATTTTAAT